AACACTGTAAGTATACTTCTCGGATATGGCAATGGTTCTTTTGCAAACCGAACTAGCTATTCAGCTGGCTCTCGACTATATTCTGTCGCTGTTGGTGACTTCAACAATGACACTCAACTGGATATCGTTGTTGCTAATTTGGGTAACAACACTGTAAGTGTACTTCTCGGATATGGCAATGGTTCTTTTGCAAATCAAACAACATATTCAGCTGGCTCTCAGCCATATCATGTCGCTGTTGGTGATTTCAACAATGACACTCGGCTGGATATTGTCGTCGCTAATGAGAAGAATACTGTAAATGTACTTCTCGGATATGGCAATGGTTCTTTTGCAAATCAAACTACGTATTCAACTGGCACTTCGCCAAATTCTGTAGCTGTTGGTGATTTCAACAATGACGCTCGACTGGATATCGTCGTTGCTAATGAAGGTGACAGCACTGTAAGTATACTTCTCGGATATGGCAATGGTTCTTTTGCAAATCAAATTAAGTATTCAGCTGGCTCTTTACCATATTCTGTAGCTGTTGGTGATTTCAACAATGACACTCGACTGGATATCATCGTTGCTAATTACGGTGACAACACTATAGGTATATTTTTTGGTTACCCAAATAAGGTTTTTCAATATCAAATGACACTTATAACTGGTGAGAGGTCTGTTCCGCAATCATTCGTTGTTAGCGATTTCAACAATGATACTTACATGGATATTGCTGTCGCGAATTCAGGCACCAATAATATTGGTATTTTTCTTGGATTTGGCAATAGTTCTTTTTCAAATCAAACAACATTTGCAACTGGCTCTGGTCCATGGTATTTAGCTACTGCTGATTTAAACAACGATAATCGATTAGATATGATTGTCAGTAATATTAATGATAGTAACATCAGTGTATTTCTCGGTTATGGGAATGGATTTTTTATGAATCAAACAGTATATTCAACTGGAATTAATGCTGAACCTTACTCAGTTGCCATTGGTGATTTTAATAATGACGCCTTATTAGATATCATTGTCGCTAATTATCGTGCTAGCAATGTAGTTATATTATTTGGATCTGGTAGTGGTAGATTTACAGATTCAAAAGTATATTGGGTTAGTTACGGATCTTTTCCATTTTCTATTGTTGTTGGTGATTTTAACAATGATAAAAAACTGGATTTTGCGGTCGCTAACTACGGTGATGATAATTTAAAGATTTTATTACAGACTTGTTAATTTATCTCTCTAACTTTAAACATTTTTATTGTTCATTATTTTTTTATATTATTTGTTTGCTATTACTAATATTTCTAATAAACTTTTTTTTATATGTCATTTTATTCAATGTATTCGATTAGTTAGAACTATCAAATAAATATATTCACAATTAAGAAAACTATAGTAAATTATTCAGCAGGCACGTTACTTATAATTACTGTTGTGGAACTGTACAGAGCGCAAAGCTCATGTATGAACGGGACAGAGTCGAGGATAGGTATTGATAAAGAATAACTATAATATGCCCACATCCTTATATTGATTATACTGTAGAATTTCACTGATATTTTCTTTTATTGTAAGAAAACGTTGTCTGTAAATGATTTCATTATAAACAATACTTTGATAAGCATTGGTGATAATATTTAATATTTGTCGATAAAATTATTATATAAAAGAAGAAAAACAAAAATCGAATAATTTGTAATGTTTTCAGTCATTTTAAATCTGACATTTTCATAAGTTTCCGGTTATTTTAGAAAGGAAAATGAGTTAAATTTTGGCAGAAACAGAAAACAAGAGGAGAACATTTTGTTTTTCACAAAATATTCGAATTATCATGAAAAAGTATCACACAAACAATTTCCATCTCTTAAAATTGAAATACAAGCCAAGCCCCATTCAGCTCCTCTCTCTGTATGAGCACTCATGTATCTATATGATAAGAAATAAACTATTAGAACAGATTTATTAAAAAATAAAATTGTTTAATGATAAATGAATCCGTTAATCTCGATGAAATATATATTCCTAGTTTATTTGTCTATTTAGCTCAATAAGTTACTTCAGGCATATATATCTAGAAGGAGAATCATTCGAATAGTGGAATTTATATGTGATTCAACATCTAGATTCTTATTGTTGAATTCTGATTGGATCTCACTAGTCGAGTTCTATGGTATGATTTGGTTAACTTCTACTAGTAGGATGAAATACCAATTTGAACTCATATAAGATAATAGAGTTTAGCCTTTGAATTCGTTTGAAAGATTGTCCCAGTCTGAATGAGAGGAAGAGAATGCTTCTCGTCAAACAATTTCCTGACGACAAAAGGAACGATTGCTCACCTTCAATGTGATTGTTAACCGGTACGTTGCATTCCACTAACCTCTTCTTCTTTATTCAGTGGTTTTCGAATTAATCGGTGAAATCGTCGATAGAATCTGCTGTTTCCTCAACAATGTCGTCGAAAAAATTGTATCAATGTATTTTATTTATTTTCCAGATTTGATGAGATATTCTAAAGCATACGTTTATAGTATATGGTGATAACAAAAACAATATAGAAAAAGAGACATAATATTAAGATCAACAATTCATTTTTTAGTTTTACTATTTAATTAACTGATATAAACATTCTGTTGTCTAATTCTAATAATTTCTCACAAGATTGAATGATTTTAACCTATTTGTGGTGACATGAATATTGCTTTTTCGTAATTTGTAAGAGGTTTCACTTCTTTATTTATAACAACTTTTATCAACGTTTCTCTAATCAATATAATCTATGCACATTCCTTTTAATAGTGGTAAAAGTGTCAACGTCTTTGATAGAAGTGTGGAAAAGCTTATTCAATGGATTATAATTAATTAAGCAATAAAATAGTTAAAACTAGTAATAGCTGAGTTCTTGAGGGTATGGTTCAAAATATTAGTATTACACTCACACCCTCACGATGAAATGTATAAAATTGATAATTAAATTTATGAAATATTAGACGAAGGAATAAGTAATCTGAATGATCGAAAAATACTTGATGAAAAAGTCTTTCAGTCATCTTATGAACTTAAAAAAATAACAGATATTGCCTAGTCTGTGATGTTAAATCAAATGAAAGAAAGTATATTCTGGAATTGATTCTGCGAAGAGAAATATATATGGATTTAGAATCTTACCAGCATGTCGAATGGAATCATATAACGTCTAATCCAGAAAATATAACTCAAAAACAACTTGAACATGCTCTGCATCTATTTTTACAATGTATCAATATTGATGATCCCATACTTAGTTTCATTTATTTTATTTTTCGACAGAAAAGAAATGATTAAAAATGGCTCTAGAGATATAAGGTTGTGCGTATGACTATTATGGAAGAAGAAGTGCACACTGGCACCTACACCCTCTGTCGAATGTTGAGAATAGCATATTATATTTCTAAACGAACAAAAGATACGTTATCAATATAATGAATCTCGTTTTCTTTTCTTTCAATGTCCATGCAAAACCGTTGTTATTTACTTCTAACTCACAAATGATGACAAAAGAAAATAAAAAGCAAGTCATCATATAATCTTACTCATTTTTTTTGTCTGCCTGTTGTCGGTTTGTGAGGATAAACAGATTTGAAGCACAATACAAGATTATGACTCATCAGGTGATCTCTACATTACCACTCGGTGTTGAAAAATATTTTTGTGTGGATGGTGGCTGGGCGACTATCGCACATGCTGCTCATTTGAGTGGAAATTATTCGATGCTAATCAGCAATGCTTCAAATGCTCTCCAATGTCTTTTAAAACGTCATTCTCGCATGCGCACACGTCTTCGAGTAGATGATAATCGATATTTTCTCGATAATCTTCAATACAACAATGAACAGTTATCAAGCGATTTATTTTTCTCAGCTCTTGAAATAAGCAATGAGTCTTGGCAAGAAATCGTTGAACGCCGATGTAATCAAGATCCATATTCAAATAATGGAACGGTTATCTTTCCAATGTTTCATTTTACGCTCTTATACAATTCACAACAGTCTGATGATCAACTATTTCACTTAATTCTCTTTCAAAATCATTGTGTCTCGGATGGTCAAAGTGGATTTATTCTTATTCATGAGTTTTTGACTTTGGCAACCACTTCGAATGCTCTCGAAATATCAGAGCCACTTAATACAGAAATACTTCCATTGTCTGACCAATTGATTCCTCGTCCATATGGTTTATTCTATCATATAATAGCATTCATAGGCAAACAGAGTTTCAAGCGAGAAATACGTCAACTAACTCATCCACGCATTCCTGTCAAAAGCATTCCTCTCAACGACTGTCAACCAACAAGATTTGAAGTTCAGCGGTACAAGATGAGGTTTTTGTTTGCTTCGACGTCTTCCAGTCTCTATTCAAAACTACATCCACAATGCCGTCTACATAGAGTGACATTAAATGGTCCGCTCATGGGATGCCTCCT